ACCTGTAGCTAGAACCTGCTTTGGATTCTCTCCCTTTGTGCAGAGTCCAGAACTAAGTATCTGCAAGTAGAACATTATTTGTCCTCGTGGAATGACACCACGGGATGCTGGTTGATAAATAACATATTAGCAGCTTATCATGCTGAGTCATTTTGCCTGATATGTATGTTTATCTCATTTGTCAGTTTAATATTTAGGTAATCGTTCGGCTATATTAAACTGATATGCTATATAAGCTGATACTGTCAGACAATTCTTCTTATGTGCTTATACACTGCAGTAAATGAATCTGTTTAACTGCCACACTAACTAGTGACTGGAAATAAAGTTGTATCTGCTAGAATTATAAGGGATAGCCATTTGGAAATAAATAGAGATTGAAGTGGCAAGATGACATTTGGTGCCTTGTTTTCGGTGCCTTCTCTGACATGAGTGAATTATAAAAGCTTTAATTGTAGCAGTTTTAGTGCAGCTCAAAAGGTTTCATCTGAGATACTTGGAATGGACAGTAGATCACTTTCTAGGCATCTTGACAATGACTGGACTTCTGTAACTTCCTTCTCTTAAAAGATATGCAGGATTATTTTCTCAGATTGTAAGATTGAGCATCCCTTATCTGAAATTTCTGAAACCCAAAATTCTTCAAAATCAAAAGGTGTCCATCTGTGTGACCGAGATAGTGATAGTGATACTTTTGCTTTCTGATTCTTCAGTGTGCATACAATATGTTTCAAGCACCAAATTGTTTACCATGTTATATAAAAAACCTTCAGGCTATGTGTATAACATCTATATAAATAAAAAATGTAATGTTCGTTTGTGGGATTAACATAACTCAAAAACCACTGGGCAAATCGACACCAAATTTGGACACAAGACACCTACTAACCCAAGGAGCGACAATCATTCAAAAAATTGATTTTGTCATTTGGGAGTTGTAGTTGCTGGGATTTATAGTACACCTACAGTCAAAGAGTATTCTGAACTCCACCAATGAAGAAATTGAACCAAATGTGGCATACGGGACTCCTATGACCAACAGAAAACACAAGAAGGGTTTGGTGGGCATTGACCTTGAGTTTGGGAGTTATAGTTCACCTACATCCAGAGAGCACTGTGGACTCAAAAAATGATGGATCTGGACCAAACTTGGCACGAATATTCCATATGCCCAAATATGAACACAGATGGAGTTTGGGGGGAATAGACCTTGACATTTGGGAGTTGTAGTTGCTGGGATTTATAGTTCACCTACAATCAAAGAGCATTCTGAACCCCGCCAATGACAGAATTGGGGCAAACTTCCCACACAGAACCTTCATGACCAACAGAAAATACTTAAGGCCATCCAGTCCAACTCCCTTCACCGGGGCAAGAAAACGTCATCAAAGCCCTCCTGCCATAGATATAGATAGATATGATTCACACACACACAGATATAGTATCATAGATTTGAAAGGGACCCCTAAAGAAGGACAATGATATGTTGCATGTTCCAGAGTAGGCAAACCAGACAATCTCCACATCAACACTGACAAAGAAACAACAAGAAATACTGTTTACCCACACGCATAAAGACATTACATATATTAGAAAGCAAGACCTTCTCATTATTTTCCAGATCACCAGACTGGGCCACAGCAACGCGTGGTAGGAGACGGCTAGTGTATATGTATATGTATGTGTGTGTGTGTGTATATATATATACACACAAGACACACACACACACATGAAGCATACATGAATTCCATATTTTGACTTGGGTCTTATATCTCATGATGAATGTATATGCAAATGCAAGTGTTCCAAAATCGGGGGTGGGGAGGATCCCAAAAACTTTTAGTCTTGAGCATTTTAGATAAGGGATACTCAACTTGTATTTTATGAAACACCATCTTTAGATCCTGTTATGATCTGGTTTCATTCAGACTGTGCCAGATCCTTGTTTTGTAAGCCTTGTGAAATTCTGCAAAGTTCAAATCCTCTATCTTTTCATTTATTGTCCTTTTAAGGGTTGTATATTATATTATGTGATGTCATGGCCTATGGCTGGTACAATAAACAATTAATTCATCATCTATCTTTTCATCAATATAAGGATGGTATGTTTTGGAAGGCTACACAACAATATGCTCTTGACAATTTAATGTGGGTTTATTATCAGTGTCTGTAATGACACAGCAGTCTGGGGAAAAACCAAGGCTTCACTACACTGTAGCCATGTCCTACTCATTTGACATGTCCTTATGCTAGTGGATTAATCATTGTCATAATAACTGGAGTTTAAGTTTTTAATGGCTTACTAAACAATTTGGGTAGTTTTAAAGTTGGTTAGCCATCCAGGAAGATACCTGATCCTTGGTAGTATCTATAACTACTGATTACTCAAAGTATTGTTTCAAGTATTATTTCAAGATCTTACTTTTCTTGAAAACTTCATATGGCTTCTTGCCCAATGGCAACTTGTGACCTTTACTCAGTAGCAATGTCTTACTTATTCCCGAGATACCTTTCTGAAGTCTTATTCCCATTTTACTTCTTCATGGAAGCTTGTGTTCTGAAAAGGAAATCCAATACCAATTTCTGTGAGAGGGTGAGATTGTGAAAGAGGGAAAGTTAGAGAAATATCAGTGTGCTTTTGGAGATGGCAGGGTACAGGTGAGTGCTCCTTCCCTCTGATCTCTCTTGTCCTGACAAATACAGCTCACTTACTTTTAAAATTATTTGATGTCAGGACCTCCAAATGACATTGAGTTTTGCTTTTGTCCTTTAGCCTGTTTCCTCATTTACTGAACATTAATGTCTTGAACAGCATAGTAATGGCAATTAGAAAATACCTTGACTCTAAGTGTCTGGAGAAATAATGTTATTCACCAAAAAGAGCCCAAAAAGAGGAAAAGGTGTTGAGAAATTAATATTGCTACAATAACTATTATAAATCACCTTGATGATAATTATGCTATCAAGTATAGAATGTGATCATAATTATCTACTTTTTAAAAATACACCATTTTCTTTCATGGTCATAAAATTCCCTAATATCTGCTAATTTTTTCAAAGAATCCTAGTGCTTTCAGTGAGAGAATTACATAGAGAATTACATATGTCTAAACTAGCCCCACTATTTCAGTGAGACCTAAAATGAGTCTTTGAGTGGGTCATATTCTCAGTTAGCATTAAGAAAAGGGCTTTTTTTACAGTAATTATGTGTCAGAAAGATCAGTAATATGTCAGATTCCAAACAGGCACAGAATATACTTTAAAGTGGTTTCTGTCATTTCCAGAATTGGTGCCATTTTTGATAAAGCAAATAATTTAAATTGTTCAAAATACATTCTCTTTTTTGGGTTTTTTGGGTTTCACATAGAATGAACCATCATCATATGCAATCACTCTTAGCCAAGTATACTTGTCTTCCGGAGTTAGAACCTTGGCAGTGAATCCATAAATGACTTATTCTGGATCCACATGGTCTTTCACACTGAGATCATAGACTTTCATATAGTGGACATTGAAACCCACATAAGTTCATACGAAAATCAATTGCTTTATGTAGACCCAGAATATTATAGTGATATTAATGTTACATTGTGAATCTAGAGACCAGGGCTTGAATCCTCACTCGGACATGGAACCCCACTTGGCTTTGGTAAAGTCACTCACTCTCTGTCTCAGAGGAAGGCAAATAGGTTCACCTTTGGATCATTATCATAGGTTCACCTTAGGATCATTATAACTTGAAGGCACAAACAAAAGTCTCATGGAAGTGCCAACTGATTAAAGGCCATGGATGGGTGGTTCATTGTCTGTAGTGGGATCGATAAGCATAAACAGCAACTCTCTTCCCTCCAGCTGAAATCATTTTCCAGTAGAGATAGACTTGGGATTCAACTAAACATTTTGGATAAGTGGCTTGAATGCACACCATCCACAATTGTAATCCAAAAGTCATTTCACATAATTCTGTAAGTATTATTGCACTGTAGTTAATCTCCAAAGGCTTGACCCCAGGTTATGATAAAACATTTGAGCCATAAGTGGCCCTCTTTCTTCCCAATGATCCACGCCTCTGTGTTTCTGTTGTATTTTGATATTTCACTTCAGTAGTACAAGCCAAAGTGGGTGAATGGTCAGAAATCACATCAACTGTGATTTCCAATTCATGTGAAGGGCAATAGATCCAAATCAGTCTGTTGATTTCAAGTATAAAACCATATATGTGTAAAGATTTGGAAAGTCCATTCATAAAGTCAGACTGTCTCAAACATCCCCTCCAGATATGTTGAAATCTTTTTTAGCTATTTGCATATTCTGTAGTAACAGAGAGCAATTTCATGTTTAGATATCTATAGCAAAGCTTTAAAACTTTTTTTGAACTGAATTGGACATCAAAATGTGCCAAATTATGTCCATACTACTCTAGTTGAATGAAAACTTTCAACTTTCAAACTGTTTGACTGGACTTCCCTTCCCTGTGCTACATGAGCAGCCCAATCCTCTCCCTTCAAACTCCCTTTTAAATACATTAATTTTGATATACTCTTGTCTTGATGTTCTGGAAATGATGCACTTGTTTTAGAGTTTTAAAGTATTGAAGTTTTAAAGTTTTAAATCTCTTGACCCTTAGACCTGATGTGTTTGTGCAGGACTGTGTCCCTATTCTCATGAGCTGGTCACTGACCATAACAAAGTGAACTTGGACTTGGACTTGAATGAAAAAGAATTGGGATATACACCTGGAGCTTTTCAGACTTCATTTAATGTATGGTGTATAGTATGTATTTTAAGGCAGGCCACCCTAAACATATCCTAGAAAATCTATCCAGTCATTTTCACAACATACACCAAGAAATAAAAAAGAAATGTGACTGAATGTATCTTTATCTTTGCCTACAGATGCCTTGTAACTTAGCTTTTCAAAATGTCTGCTTTTTGTTCCTTCAACTATTGTGCTAGGATTTATGAATTGTATAATACTCATTCAAACTCCTTTCTCTTAGGACATTCTCAGAACTTCGCATTACTAGAGCGTCATTGGCTGATGCTGGAGAATATACATGTAAAGCAAGCAACAGGTTTGGGAATGAAAGCACCAAAGCTCGGATAAGCATTACAGACACCAATGGTAAGACATGACTGATGTTTCAAAACATTTTGCAGAATGTATTGTTTCTTCCACGACTCAGGCCACTTTTGAATTGTTGAACCACACATGTATTTTTCAAATTATGAAAAAATGAATCTTTTCCTTATTTGTTTTGCTAGAGAACAATAAGCAAATCTCATAGTGTCCAGATCATCTTATGTGTGGTATACTAACTCAGGCACAGTCTCACCACATTAGGAGCACAGGATCCCTATGAAAAGGAAAAAAATGGAAATACATAAAGTAATCTCTTTCTTGCCCTCATGGAATTTCTATGTTTTCCAACATGACTCTATGGTCGACATCTGCTGGAAACTGAACATAGAATCCCATTGAAGGACCTTGAGATTCCTACAGACTGGAGGAAGTTGACCATAGGACAACCAAAGCATTTCTCGTGATAACATTGTGATGAAATCTGTGAATAATCAAGTTCGCAGAAGTCAAAACCACAAACATAGAGGGATGACTGCACTTCACTGTATACTCAACATCCTGAATATCTCAGTGATTTCTGACCTGATACAAGCTCAGTTTCTGAACATAAGAGTTCCTGGCCAGTTTGCTGCCTATAGTAGATGAGTTATTACAACACAGGTTATGTAAAGGACATTGGGGGTTGTTAAAGACATTATCTTCTCTTGGGTAATGTAATTTACATTTGTGATTGTGAGGGAAAAATATGTATTTCAAAACTCAGAAACACATATGCCCTAAGCTTTGTTCTGCTTTACCTATCTCAGAATATACATACATTTCTGTTTAGTTCATTAGCATTCTTAACCTTTATAGCAGTATTTCTTTGGTTATGAGTCTCCTGCTGTGTATGTTGCCATATTTTTCCTTATGTGGATGTATTCAAACACATTGTCAGTGGCACTCCGTGGTAAAATCCATTAGACAAGTAGAATACAGTGAATCTTTTGTTCCAGATTTTGGATGCAACAACAACACCAACAATCTATTTATTTATTTATTTATTTATTTACAACATTTATATGCTGCCCTTCTCACCCCAAAGGGGACTCAGAGTGGCTTACAAGGTATATATGCATACAATATATTATTAACATAGTACAATATCAGTTTTAAATATTGCTATATTGTACTATATCAATTATACTGTAATATTATTAGTAATTTTACATGTAATATAAATATATAATTATAATATCATATTATTATTATTAGTAGTAGTAGTAGTAGTATTGCATTACATTATAATATTATAAATATTATATGTATATACAATATATATTATATTATATTATATTATTAGAATAGCACAGCAGACAATTAGGGCTGGACGGTTTCGTTTCGTTAATTCGTAATTCATTAATAATTCGTTAATTTTTTCAATTACAAAACGATAACGAACCATTCTGGAGCAATTATTAAAAAAAACGAATTTTCAAAAACGTTTTGTAAATGCTTCGTATTTCGATATTGTATTCGTTTCGTTATTGTTTTGAGGTCGTTTCGTTATGATTTCCGCATGTCTGGGCCAGTTTTATGGTTTAATTAGTGAAAAAAAATTATAATATCACACCAACAGTCAACAACAGAGGGAGAGGGAAGCTTCAGAAGGTTTTGGAGGTTTTTTAGCGTATTTCGCGGTCGCGTCCGCCATTAACGAATCGATTCGTTATTGTTTTGGAAATGGTTTCTTTAATTTTTACCATTTACGAAATTTCGTAAATATCGAACTTTTTAAAAGGAAAATTTTGTAATTATTTTAAATATCAAAACAAAAAAAACCCCAAATACAAATCGATTTTAGAAACAAATTTTTCCGTTGTTACCCAGACCTACAGACAATATCTACGGCTAAGCTACATTGGTTTTAAGTTGACCAATACCTATATATTTATATTTTATGTTAAGTGAACTAGACGTATGTTGTATGTTGTGTTTTGATAAGGCCAACTGGCTAACTATAAAAATTGTTGTTGTGTATGTTGCCATATTTTTCCTTTTGTAGATGTATTCAAACACATTGTCAGTGGCACTCCGTGGTAAAATCCATTAGACAAGTAGAACACAGTGAAACTTTTGTTCCAGATTTTGGATGCATGTAATTTCTTTGGAAGGTTGCATTTTGAAAAATTCTAATTATTATACACACCTTTTATCACAACTATAATTCTGCATTGTCTTTTATTCTATATCACAGTGTTTTGAAACATGCTTGTTGGTACACAGCTTTACATTATGAATCAAAATTTAGGTGTAGTAGCTAAAAATGAATGTGAAGAATTATCACTGTGTGTCAGATCCGAGGGATTTCAGAACAAAACTTGAGCTCACAAAGTCAATTCTCTGGAAAATCAGTTTATTCAGTCCATACAGGAATCATACAAAGAGAGATCTGAGGCTTCCCGCCAACATTCAGCAACACCTCCCCTCTGGCCTCTGCCTCCTCCCTTCTCCCCCCCTTATCGCAAGTTGTGGCTACATTCCATTCCCACATCTACAAAGGGGTTTCTGCAACCAGATGGCCCCCTATCAAATCATAAACTATCCTTCTGTCAGGAAGGGAGTCTTCATGGTTCCGGCTGCGTTTGTCTAGCATGAAGGCCATTCCTGACACTGTGTTCTGTTCAATATTTTAACAACAGTTCTGAACCTGACACCTGGAATTGGATGAGTGAGATTGTATTACTTGCTGTTACCTTCCCTGGACTCGGCTTACATCCTTGTACATAATTTTCAATTTTCTACGCAGAAAATGTTTCTGCACAAAACAGCTTCATGCACATTTTTCATAAAATCTCATACACGTTGTCTGCACATAAAATAATACTTAACATCCAGGTGCTGATGTTGTGTAAAATGCATTCAATCGATGGAGTCTAATATTCTATTGATCCTGGTTTCTTAACACTCAAGCACCACAATTTTTAACCAGTTTTTGAACTTTTTCAAATTTTCTTCCCTTCTAGTCATTAAGGGAGCCAAACAAATACTAACAGTAGCACTTATCTTCTCAAAAACCTCCATTTATTTGTTATCCAATCCATTACTTCAGCTTAGTAATAGTAACTTTATCCCAATGCTCTTCTGAACCTCAAAACCTAATTCATACATTATTGCACTGAAGAAGGAAAGATAACATGGGGAGTCATTCAATCTGTATAGATGTTATAAGAGCTGCATGGGAAACAACTATGCAGAAGTAGTTCCCTTGCAACATTGCAATATGTGAGTTAGTTCCTTTTTTTCAACAAGAATTACAGTTTTATATTCCTAAGGATGGTGTATTAAGCGGTTCTGGCTCACTTTAGTACTTGTATTTCTAAAAAATAATAAAAGTAAATCCCATACCGAACACTGTAAAAGCTGCAAGTAAAAGGTTGAAATGCTGTTAAAATGATGATCAGTATAAACTTAGGATGAAACACTAGAAATGTAAAAGACCTTTCAAGAAAATGGTATGAAAAATATTCATTGTAAGTTTTAGATTGCAATATTAATTATTGTTATGTGACAGTACTGATTTTAAAGTATTGGAATAATGGATTAAACAGGCTTTTCTATTCCCTTGTAAAGTTACTTAGTTTCCATGCATAAAGGAGTTGTTTGCTCATAAATCTGCATAGTTTCACACTTGGAATAGCTTTACCAGCTTCCAGTGATATCCCAGAGAGTCTTGACAAGCCAGACATGCTATACTAAATGATGACTCAGATGAATGGACATGTATTTGAATATGAGTATTTCTCTCTGCTCTCCTCCACTCAAACGAATGGGGAAAGAATAATAGAACGTATATGTGTGGGGAGGGAAAGCTAAAATAAATGTCATTAAAATACCAGTCAGATTTACACCGAATATATGAAACTGACTTGGTTAAAGTAGTATTTTAATAGCACTGGTTGGGAGCATTAAGGCTATTATATCTTTTTTTTCCTAAAGGACATAACATTTTAGCTAAAGCAGTTTTTTACTAGGTAAATAAAAGATGGTTTACATTTTGGCGTCAAAAACTGGTCCAATGGATCATCATTAACATTCTAGCTTTGTGAAATGTTCTTCCTAACATAAGAACAGCAAGCAATTCACAGCAATGAAGCTGCCAAAACTGAACTTATGTAAGGATAGGTTTAAATACAGTATAATTCTAGCAATTACAAAAAGAGAAATGTGAGTTTTCCATGACTTGGGAGCGGGGGGCTGTCATCTGTGATTTACTTTAAAAATAAACCACGTTTATCAGTTGTCACACAGACCTTACTGTGTCACGGGTGGATTGTAGTTATGATGTATACATAGATAGTCAAATGTAGTATGTATATGTGTGTATATATATGTATGTATGTATGTGTATATATGCGTGTATGTATGTGTGTGTGTGTGTGCGTGTGCATGTACATATGCATATGTATGTATATGTGTGTGTGGAGATATATATATATATATATATATATATATATATATATATATATATATATATATATATGGCAGCAGCATCCAGAAACAAAACTATTTTAATGAGGTGTTCCATTAATAGCTCTGAAAACTTTCCTTGGAGTGTTGGTGTACAGAGTTTGAATAATACAGAGTTTGAAATAATGCTTTACAAAGAAATGTAAACGGATGAGAAGTTAAAGAAATGGAAAGGGAAGTATATATTCACTGTTGACACACTGGCATGTAGTAAAGAGAGTAGCAAAGGAATTCAATACAAACCCTTCTTAAAGTCACTCATTGATTGTATTAACTGAGGACTACATAAAGCTCATCATCATCATCACCATCTTTATATTCAAGGGGACTTAGAGAGGATTACAGTATATACATATAAGGCAAACATTCAATACTTTTTTACACAATGAATAACAATGACATACAATACACAGACAAAGGTAAAGACCTTCCTTTCCATCTCTGGTGTCTGGAGGCAATGCTCAACTCCATCCATGGGAAGGTGCTCTTGTTCCATTTTTCCATGCCTAGGACCCTTTTGTCCACAGACATCT